TTATCAAGGGTTTCTGAAGAGCAGCTATGGGTTTGAACTGCCGGCCTTGGGGTTCCAAGTCCAGTGCTGATCCTAAAGAGGCAATTCTTTTAGTATTATTATCTCTAATAATCTCTCTTTTGGCTTTCTTGTACCATTAATTACCTCATCTGGGAATGACACTTTTATGTCTTGCAACTTTTATACCTTTTCTTTACCTATTTACTATGTTTTACAACGTTAGATAGAGCCTATAACTGTCACTGCGCTTGTATTCTAGATTCAAAGTAAAAGCTTTAATGGGAACAAGAGTCTGATGTTAGCTGGTGTTCTCTGCAGTATCCTTTATCAAATGTGAAAAGTACATTTTTATGTCTAGCTCATTAACGTTTTTAATCATAAATTAATACTAGATTATTTAACATTTGTTCTGTATTTATGTTAACTTAATCAACACTTTTGATATTCTTCACCAAGACCAAAATTCGAATGCATCAATTCTTTGGTCTTCCTTTTTCATTATCCAACCTTCACACCATAAGAGGTAACTGAAAAGGTCATAACTGTCTTAAGAGCACCTTAGTCATCAAAGATATACCTCCATTTTCAAACTTTAAAGAGGTCTTTCACAGAAGAATTATTTTAGCTTAAGCTTAAGTCTGTCTTCATTAAAAGAAAATGAAGTTAGTTACAAGACTCCTCTATGAACAAGACAAGAAGAAAGACACACACTGATAATTAAGGCAATGCTATGAAATAATTTCCATTCTGAGGCTGCTACTGGAGAAACTCCTGATTAACTTGGTATGCTGATGTGGTGTCAGCAACTTAATCCTTTCTATTTCTAAGCTTATATATCAAATGCCAAGAGAAATTTCACACAGAATGTTCTAATTAAATAAAGGAGAAAAAACATAAACAGAGTTCCAAAACTCATTGGAGCATATCTATCAACTCTCTATTCTTTTATTCTGCACAGATATTGCAATATAACATGAATCCAGAATTTTCTATATAAAGACACAAAAAGACCTTCAATATCTATGTGAAAGCAGGCACAAGTAACCTAGAGCAGTAAAACTGTGATAATCCAGTACTATCATAATGCCAGTATTGATGGGTGACCAAAGTCTCACTTCCCCTGCCTCAATAAAGTTCAAATATCTCTTGGTACTGAGAAGCCCCATGTAGAACTGGATGAGGACCTGCAGAAGTTTCAAGACCTACCAGTAGGAGTGCATTCACATATCCCAGGTGAGGGACACCTGGTCTATCTCAGATTCTAAGCATTGGTCAGAGCCAGTATCCTAGAACCAAGGAAGACAAAAAAGGATTCTGGGCAGGGGCTGGGACTGCATGATCAAGCATTTCTGCCTAGAAAAACCACTGGAAGGAACTTTTCCCTCCCACCTTACACATCATTCCCAACTAATATTGGGCAGAAAATTAACAACGTGGGAAGGTGGAAGATACGACTAGAAACAGCACAGTGATCAGCTGGAATGATAAATCAGTCACATTATCGTCTTCAAGTGAGGCTGCCACACACACCCCCCGAGGACCCACCTGTGACATCCAGATGGAAGGAGACCTTCTGGCCCCCGGCCTCACAGGTGTACTCGCCAGCATCTGCTTTGCCCGCCTGCTGCACCACCAGCTGCCGCCCACAGCCCGTGGCCTCCACACGCACCCT